CCTGGGGAAGAAGGTGAGTGTAAGATGAGGATGTACTTCCTACCTAGTTGTATTCCAAGCTGAGCCTCCTGACCAGTACACCTCACTTAAGTTCATTATTTTATCTAAACAGAAATGCCAAGGCTGTTATGGAAGACAGTTTGAAAAGAAGCTCCCTTTCTTTCAAGACAAACCAGCAAGCAAAACTTGACACCCATTTTCTTTACTGATTTTTAACTTCCCACCAAAGCTTAGACAAATAAAGCAGATAAAATATTAGAAATGGGTGTAGAGTAGATAGTAAATCCCCCTGCTCTCCCTCCAGGGGCTTGCAAGCAAGTAAAGCCTAATACCTAGTGACTGAAAAGAACACACTCCAGGAGGTGTTCTCAGAGTCAGGATCACAAAACACTGGATGCTTCTGGGGGAGACTGAGGACAGGGCCATTTAAATGGTGCCGTGGTTTTGACATTCCTTCCTTGGGGTGATTGTGTCCCAATGCGAGTGTGAATCCCTTCTGCCTTTCGTGGTGGGAGCTCCTTGCTGTGCTGAGTGTTCATTAAAGAAAGAGGCTTTCTCCCAAACCTGGAGGGAAGCGAGGCCTTATTGCAAACAAGTAATTGCTCAGAATATGAACCTTCATTATTTAAAAACCCACACCAGGAGCCAGGGGCTTGAGAACCAGTGATCAGTGACGGTGGCTGCTCATGAAAGTTTCTTTCTTTCTCTTCTCTGCCTCAAAGCCACAGCTCCCTGTGTGGATGGCTAAACACTTCATGCCCTGAGGCCAGGCCGGTCATTCACTCTAGTGAGTTTCAAGAACTAGTCAGTCTTGGCATCATTCTAACTAGGGACCTCTGAGTATGCTGACATTTTTCAATAGTCCATCCACACAGGATCCTGGGTTGGGTGCAACCCCTGTAGCCCACTGCTCTAGCCACTATGGTTGCATAACAAGTCACCCCAACTTGGTGATTTCAAACAACCATATATACTTTGCATGGATATGTGGCTCAGGAATTTAGTGGGGGCACTATGGGCAGGGATGTCTCTGCTGCACAATGTCTAGGTGTTGGTTGAATGACTTGAAAATGGAGCCTGGAATCATTGGAAGGTTCAGTCCCAGTCATGTCTGATGACTGGGGCCTCCGCTGGGACTCTCAACCATTCATCTACACGTGCTCTGTTCATCATGTGCCTCAGGCTTCCTTGCAACATGTAGCTGAGTTCCAGGGCAAGTGACCACCTATTATTGTCTGGTTTTGGAAGCCAGGCATGTTACCTCTCTGTGTTCTGTTCATCGAGGGCCCTCAAAGGCCCTTCCCCATCCAAGGGAATGTATAAACGTTCTCTTGCTGGCAGAGATTCCAGGGTCTGGAAGGCCATTTGCTGTGGCCACATGTATGCTCTGGACACAGCAAGGAAATGACGTGAAAGTTCCATTTAGCCCTTCAGTGTAGGGTTGACAGGCAGGAACCCTGCAGCTTTATGCAGTGATACCTATGACTGTGGGCCCACGCTGCCCTCTGGGCAGATAGGTTTCCTTTGGCCAGAACAGAATCTCTCGTCAGATTCATAGAAATGTGCGAATCTGCAGGCACATGAGCTGTCACTTCTTGGTTAGGTCTTATTTTTTCTATTCCCAAGACTCCAACTGAGAATATTGGAGTCAAGCCACCAACTCCTGAAATAATACCCATGCAAGCCACTTTTCTTTTTTTTTTTTTTAAAAGCTTTTGTATCTTTTTTTTTTTTTTTTTATTTTATAGAGGCATGTTTTGTTTATTTGTTTGTTTGTTTATACATGCACTGGGTACAGTCAGAAGTCCGGGAGGGTGAGAGAATTCACCAGGCCAGAGCGGGGAGCAGAGCAGGCAGAAGGACCGAAGTACACTGCTGAGGGGAGCAGCGGGCGGCAGGAGAGGTCTGCGCGCCATGTGGGACCCTCCTCTGGTGGCCGGGGAGCAGCCGGGGATGGAACCGGCGCCGCAGAGGCCGCGGGCAGCTTCGCAGCCCAGCGCTCAACCACTGCGCCACCGGGGAGGCCCCATGCAAGCCACTTTTCACGTCCTCCCAGTTCAGGATCAGAATCAGTGAGGCCAACAACACAGGAGCCTGGGAGAGATTCTGTAGTTCGAGAATCAGCCCTGTGAGAGACTAGCAATCAGAGCTTCTGTTGCTGGCCCCCGAAACTGGAGCTGTCTGCTCCATTATGGCTTTGTGTTCTCTTAATCTTTAAAATTGTCTTTAAAACTATTTCCTCTGTGCTTTTCCACTGTGGTTTGAATTAGTGTTCTTGGTAACTCTTCAAATTTTAGAGATGCAGAAAATACAACAATGTAGAGAGAAAAAAATAAAATTTGCTGTAATACTGCCCCTTGGAATAATAACCGTGAATATTTCAGTGCTTTGCCTATTTGAGTATTTCCTCATCATTAAATATTCTTGTATTAAAATGACTTTAATGGCTAAATGCAAATTGTATGTGCCAGAATTTTAACTACTCCCTTTATTGTCAGATATTTAAGTTATTTCCTCTTTTAATGCAATGACTTTAGCCTTATTAAAATATATCTTATTTAACATATTTTTCTATATTTATTTATAAGGCTTAATACAAATTATTTAAATTTAAATATATAAATGTTCTTCTTGATACATTCTGAGAAGTAGAATTATTGGATCTGAGGATATGAACAATTTGAAGTTCTTGCTATTTGGTCTCAAATTGGTTCCCCGAATTGACACAATTGCTGTCTATCTGTACACAATTTAAAAAGAAAAACCAGCCAGGATTATGTGTTGAGGGAGAAATCTACAACCATATTTTAAATTGATTTAATTCAGCTCTGATTTTTATTTGTTTTAGACTTAAGATGATTGAGTCATTTGTTTCCATCTAAGAGTATTTTAAATTCCTTGGTTCCATGTTCTAAGTTTTTCTTCTCTTTAAGTGTATTCTTCACTGTGTAAATTTCCCCACTAACACTGTATTTTTTCTCCTTCGTGCATGACTTGTGGTTTCACCACTGTCAATCATTTTCCTCCAGATGTTTGGTTTCTCAGTGTCTCTTTTATTTCATGCATAATTATGATGTTATTCATTGTTCATTTCTCAACTTCCATGTAACTTGTCTATTTTGTAATTCTGCATCTTTGCATGATAAAGTTATTACTTGTAGGCTCAGTAAAATATGTATAGTGATTTTTGTGTTTGCTGTCTTCTCACCACTACTGCAGCCAATTATGAGTAAGTCTTCATATGTGCTTCACATGCCCTCCTGTTCATTTGTGTTCGTTATTCTCAAAACTATGTGTTGTTGTCACTTGATTTCTCTTCTTTTGTACATACTATTACTTGGATTATATTAGACTCTTCTAATATTTATAATAATTATCATAGTTTGCATTAGCACTTTCTTTTTCTAATATGGTTCATCATTGGGGATATAAATCTTAAAGCATTCTGGAGTTTAACAGAGGATATTAAATTGCATATTTAATGGTTATTAATGATTTAAAGATTTAATGGCTACTAATGGACACAAATTATGAAGTTATATAACCATGACTCTAAGGATGTTTTAACATTGAATATCACTACATTTGGGCATTTTGTTATTTTTGGGTATCAATTACAGCTTTTGCAGTAACTCTACAGTTCAATATGAATATATATTTTTACTACCTTCCCTTATGCAAAATTATTTTTAATATATCTTCTAAAACTTTGACAATTATTTGGGAAACATTACTTCCTTTAACATTTAGTGAAGTTTTAATTATAAGTTCATTTTTTGTGTTTTGTGTTTTTTTTCCTTTTCTTTTATCCTAAGATTCCTTCCCTTTTTTCTTTTCTTTCCTCTTTTTCTTGTTTATTCTTTTCTTTAAAAAAATCTGTGCCTTCTATATTCCAGTGCTACACTTGTGGCCCGAGGATGAACGCACAACCCATGGCCCTTGCCACGTGTGAGAACCTATCACCTGTCAGAATTGCTGTTTGACAAGGTGGAAACATTTTGGGGGCATGGAAGGAAAGGTTGGGTTTCAGAGAAGGGTAGAGGAACAGGGACAGGCAGGAGGAACAGGGGTGCAATGGCTGTGAAAATTATATTGTATGTGGGAGAGTAGAGGGGACACAACTAGCAATTTGTGTGTGGGTCTCATGCCAGGTGGTGGGAGGCTGGCGTTGGACTCAGCTCTGTGATGGTTACATGCAGCAAAGTGACCTAACAAGGGCACTCTCCTAGCCTTGCTAGGACACTAGTTGGAGGGGAGAATATTAGAGAAGGAGGAGGCTCCACAACTGTACATTCATGGTGCCCTGACACTGTGCTCGCCATGTGTCTGACATCACACCAAGAGCTCTGCATCCAGCAATGGCCACACGCCATCATCCTGCACTTAAGGAGCATAAGTCCTGATGTGGGGAAGAGGAAATGAACACCTATAGTGGTGGTGGCAGTGGCTATATAGACAATAACACTACATGGCATTTAAAATCTCATTCGTATCTAGCTTTCGGCGGTTTGACCAGTATGAAGACATATGTTCAGCGTCCTATTAGATTTCTGTACCTTAAAGGAGTATTTATGTTCATACACATCAGCCCCATTGCTCCTGTGACTTGCCCCAGCTCCTCTCTGATTAACATTCCTGTTGTATGATGAATCTGCCTGTGGATGCAGCTGGAAGACTCAGACTTCTCCCTTGATCAATGTACTTTAGGAGTTGACATACTGGAAATAGCACTTTGTAATAACTAGATAAGGGAAGTAATCTGTGGAGCTACATAGACACCATTTATCCATCGGTAATAATTTGAAATCAGTTCATGTTTTCTCAAGAACGACCTCCAAGAGAGACAAAGGTTCTAGCATAATCATACCAGGGTGTGGAAGCTGGAAGAGCTCTGCTGGAACATCTTCCCTTTGTGGACTACTGGATAAAGTGCCGATGTGTTCCTGACCCTGAAAAAGCCCATCCTTTACAAATAATCTTTTTCTTTTTTCTCTTGCCAGGAATCTTACATCTTTTCTGCAGAACTTGGAGAAAAATGTGAAGCCATAGGCAAGAAATTATTGTACTTAGAAGATCAACTTCACACTGCAATCCATAGTCATGATGAGGAGCTCATTCATATCCTTTCATCTTGCAGATTAAAAACCTGCCAGGATATTTTGTAGAAGAAAGTCTGAAAAACACACACAACTTTTCCATGCCTCAGCAGAGGAAAACACATAGATACCGCTACTGCTGTTATTTATAGTACAGCATACATCAGATCTCTCATATTATCCATACTCTAAAAAGAGTAATATTTTCATTCTAGTTTTTGATAATTCAGCATTTTTGTTTATAAAATCTGGCCACTAAAAATCAGCTATAAGATTCAGACATGTGTGCAACAAGGTTTAAGAAAATACAGTTTTCAGGGGTGTGAACTGGGTTTGTGGGGGCTCAGATGGTTGTGAGTTTGACTGGCTTAGTATTCTAGGGACTTTCTTCATACCAAGCAACCCAAACCCATCTTTGGCTTTCTTTACCATACAACACTGTCTTGTGTGGACTGCAGAGTATCACAGCAAACAGGACTTTAGATCATTTCCTTTTCAAGTTCTTCTTCAAGACTTAATACTCTTGGTGTCACTTCTGCGCATACCTTCATCCGAACTCACTTTAAATGAGCAAGACAGTGTGAGGACACACTTTGTGTGCTTCCACACGCAGGCTTATAGCGTTTGCTGATTGGTGGACACAGTCAGTGTGTCACTGTGTGGTTCTTGTGGGGGCTGATAGATGGTGCACAAGGTTGAAAGATGTTCAGCCACCCTGTATCTTTTCAGTTATTTAATTCAGATACTTCTCCAGATAAAAACACTTCCCTGTTCATTCATCCTTTCTAGACTTTTATCAGATGAATTTGTGGAAAGTGTCGCTATTTTCATCTTTGCTTTTCACTGCTGTCTTTTCAGAATCTCACTTTTTACCCTATTTTTTCTTGAGTGTGTGTGAGCATGTGTGTGTGAGATTGTATATATAATGTGTGTGATTGTTTCTCAAGGATGTGAGAGTATGTATTCATATATGTATATGAGATTGTGTGTGTGTGTGTGTTATTATATGTAAGTCCAGTGTGTTTAAGCAGTCTTAAAAGGTCCAGGATTAATCTTAGTTGAAAATATTCAGAACCACAGTTCAATGATAGATTTAACACTGTGTTTTCTTCCTCATTATGACCTTAAATCTTTGACCTTGCTTATTAAACTTAGCAGGAAATTTCTTCAACTTAATCAACGATTAACTTCAGGTTGCTAAAGATAGATTTTTTAAACCAGATATTCTATTCTTCATAGTTTCCTGCTTCTTACAGAACTAGCATTTAAGTTATTGTTATAAATGTGACCAAAGAAACAGTAGAAGAATTTTGTTTTGGTTTTTGTTTATTCGTGTTCTTGGAGCACACAGATCTGAGGTCTTATCAGGGAGCATGACCTTCAGCAAATGGGCAAGTGACAATCTGTACCTGGGTGCCTGTAAACAATGCCATGAACAGAGCCAATATACAAGGAGGAGTTCCTGGCCCCATGCCCAGCAGGCGAGGTTGTTTCTCAGTGGGATGTACCTCAGCTTGTGGTGGGGTCAGGTGGCCTCCTCTGAGCAATGAGGCTTTGTGTTGGTCTCTTGTTTAAAAACTTTCTAGATGGTTACTTTGATTTTAGGTCATTGGCTTTCCTTCTTAATAAGGTTGGGCAGCAGAGGAAGAGGCTGAGAGGGGACAGAGCTGTATTTAAACAAGGTTGTTTCAGTTTTCCCACAACCAGTCCAAGCCAGGTCATCAAGCAGCAGCATCCAGATTATGGACAACTGATGAAGTCTCTTTAGGCAGCAGCTTCCTCATCTGTAACATCTGCTAGAACATGTTCCTCTCTTGAGGCTCAATTTAAAAATATGTTTCATATAGTTCTTATATGTGGTAAGGGCTTGGTGTTAGGTAGAAAACTATATTCTCCAAGTCCATTTGCCTTCCTAGTGTCTATGTCCCAAGTTCAAACCACATCTCATTTGTACGTAAGAGGTGGAGCTTGATTCAACTATTTTGGAATAAATACTTGAAGGTATCAATGAACAGCTATACAATGACTTCTATTAAAAGTCATTTAATTCTAGGGCCTCCCTGGTGGTGCAAGGGGTTAAGACACAACCTATGAAGCTATTCGCAGCCACTGCAGCATGAGTTCAATCTCTGGCCAGGGAGCTACCCACATGGCACAACAGACCTCTCCTGACTTGCCTGCTGCCCCCCTCAGCAGTGTATTTCAGTCATTCTGCCTGTTCTGTTCCCCACTCTATCTCTGATGAATCCTCTCACCCCCTGCACCTTTGGCCTGTACCCCATTGTTGTATGCATAAATAAATAGTTTTAAAAAGTCATTTAATTCTAATAAATCTGCTATAGATAGAAGTTATGATTCCTACTTCATAGTTGAGAAAACTGAAACTTAGCAATTATGTGGCTGGTCTAAGATTATTTCTAACAAGTCACAGAACCGTCCAGCCACAAGCCCTGTGTCCTACTTGGCCCATCGGGAGGCAGCTGTGCCTGTAAAGAAGTGGACAAGCCTGTTCTAGGGAGCATACAGGTTGCTATAAAAATTTCAAACCATAATAAAAGTATTTTATTAAGGTTATATTTTCTGAAAATTTTGCTGATCCTTGCTGAGCTAAGTAGAGACATAGAGGGACCATGTTAAATGAGAGCTGGGAAGTACTGAGGTAGGTGCTGAAGTCAACCTCTCCCCTGCAAACAAAAATCAGAATGTGGATTTCTTCCAGACTTTTCTCTGAAAGTCAGGCTTTGTTTTGTATCACTGATTGAGTGTAAATCCACAGGAGATAGCTTTGAACTCATAGAGTACAATGCTTAGATCTGAGGGGAGCATAGTGCCCTAAGACAGAAAGACATATTTACAAGGCTCTGTGGAGGCTCCTGACACAAACTAAAGCCTTTCTTTCAAATCAGAACTTCTCTAGAGATTCAAAGAGGCTGCCAGAATCCTACAGCCAAACTGACTGGTTGGTGTTTCCAATCTTGATCAAAGACACAACTCTGAGTGCGTCTGAAAGAAACAGCTTGCTGTCAACAACACGAAGGCAGTGCACAGTGAGTGTAATATTTTTGTTTGATTCCATTAAGCACTCTGCCAGAGCTGACTGTGCTTATAATGTGGAGTGACCGTGATTAATATGAGTCTATGTCCAGGCGATGCAAGTCTTGGGCATGACAGACTCTCATTCTTTATGGGAAAGGCACTTGTGAAAAAGCATAGTTAGTGTGGTCCTAACAGACGGGTAGGTAGTGGGGCTGAGTGTCCATACAGGTCCTCTAGGAGTCGTGACTTAATATTGGGGCTGCAGGCAGCTGCTGGGAACCTCCTGCTTTGAGGAAGAAGACATTGGATTGACAGATTGAAGATGTGGGTGAGAAACAGGCCATGTCTCCTCATCATCCTGACAGGCACACTAAATTATATGTGACATGACCAAATAACAACACAAAGCCGTCAGCTACTGCAGCGGTGAGTGCCTGGAAGGAGCCTGCACCATTAATTGGAAGAGCCAGCATCACAGAGGTGACTCAGGCCTGGTGTCTGAGGATAGGACAGGAGGTGTGACTTCACTGCCAGTCAAGCTGGGATTTCCAGGAGCGTTAGTCAGAGTGTCTAGTACAATCTCACAGTCATTTTGAGTCCTAATTAGCAGTTACATTTTGAAAAACATTTGGAGTGTATGTAATGAATCCTCCATGTTCAAAATGCTTTAAAAATTTATGAGATTAGGTGGATATTTAAGCAGGGCTTTCCAACTCTCTTTTTCTCCTTCATTTTCTACCATACACTTTAAAGAAAAAGAAGCACACCTGATTTAGACGCATTTGGTATTTCAAAGCCCCCAGGGCAGTTCTGCTTGCCTCTGAGACATAGATGAGATGGGGACAGACTGATTCTATTTGTGGTTCTATTTACATCCATGTCCAGGAAACCCTTGTGGAATTCTATTCTCTCTGCTGATTTGGAATGCATGGTGCCCAATCGATTAGTTTTGGTGGCGCTTGATGGCATGCAAATACTCTAAGTACATCCAGGCACATGCACAAACATCACATTTCCTAAAGGACCCTTGTTTGCTTCAACTTTCAGACAAAGGAACAGTTTTTGGAGTTAGTGTTGTCTCCTTGGAAATGTTTTCCTCCTCCAGAGCTAATGCACTGGAAGAGGGACCATAAGTCTCACCATATTTAATACATGTATTCTGTAGATTAGAAAACTGAGACTCTAAGAGGTGGTATTTTAAGAATCATCTATGCTCAGATAATGAGGTATGGTGATTAGGGATCTTCCTTTTGATATTCACCCACACTTTGGGGCAGGAAGAGGAAGAGTTGGTGAATCACAGTGGGGGAGGAAAAACCTTGAGGAAGTATAAAGAGGGCCCCTGTAGGGTTGCCAGATCCAACACACAGGGCTGTGGGGTATAAGGCTGAGGCTTTGCTCTTTGGTCTTAAACAACTGTGTTCATCACCTTCATCATGAAAGTGAATTTCCAGGTAATGTAGGCTGTGGTGACTGCAGAGGATTTAATAAAGGAATAATTTACCAAATGAGAACAACTTTGAAGGATATGTTGTTATTTATTTTTGAACTCAACTAGATCAGATGAACTCAAGACTTACTTTTGAGTAAGCTACTAAAAGAATCGCTTGGCAACCCACTTGATAGCAAAGCACTCAGTTGTTGATAATACACACACACACACACACACACAGACCCCTTTGAAAGAATTTGAGGATTTTGCCAGTGGCTGCCCTAAATAGCAATGCTGCCTTGCCACTGTATTCCTGGACCTCATCTGTGAAATGTGGTTTGTTGTGTTATCCCTTTACTAATTGTACACATGATTTGCACAATTTTACATAGAAGTTATAAATTGGCTTAATATGTGTATAGTCTCTCCCAAGGTGGTATAGTATGATCTTGGGTTTCAAAGGGGTTTTAAAGATCTTGGCATGTCAATTCTTGTGCCAGTATTGTAATCAATGTGTTGATTTCCTTAGATGGCACATGTTTCTGGTGGTATGTCTGTTACAGAGGAACTTTGTTTATGACCATAGAGGTTTCTATGGCACAAGCTTTGTAAGAATCATTCAGCCCTTTGGAGACTTATTCTTGCACTTAGAAGTAATGAGCACCTCTAGCATATAGACCTGAAATTCCAATACTGGAGTTTTTCTTTATTTGCTTTGGTCTTTGACACAAATCAATGAAAATTATGTCAATGGGTTTCAACTATGAATTTATTGAACTAGCAATCAAAAAATCTGATTCTACTATTGAATAGCCATACAATGTGTCAAATGGGATAATTTACTTTTCAGTGAATCCATGAAAAATTGTTGTAAAATATTTTTAAAATTTATTTTTCAGTATAACCTACAAGTACTTATCTGCAGCCTAGGTATCTCCTGAACCTCAGACTCATGCCTGCTTCCTACCCAACATCCCCACTTGGCTGACAAATAGACTTCTCCAGCTTACCATGCCCCAAGTCAAATTCCTCCCACCCTGAGTAAACATTCCCAATCTTTTCCTTCTCAGTAAATGGCAAGTCTGTTTTTCCAGCTCATTACTTAGACAAAAAATCTGGGAGTCATTCCTGCCATCACATTCCTCTTCCAGTCCATCACCAGATGCTGTTGGCTCTATCTTTAAAAATCTCCAGCATCTGATTACCTCTCACCACCTCCATTGCCATTTCCTGGGCCCAAACCATGGTCTTTCCTTGCCTGAATTATTGCAATAGTCTCCTCTCATCTCCACGTTTCTGCCCTTGCTCCCTTTAATCTATCAATGATTAAAGCAGTGAGAGTGATCCTGTCATTCCCTGGCTGAAAATCCTCCCCTAGTTCCCAGGTCATCTTCCAGATACATGTGTGCTTGTTTTCTGCCCCGCTCACTGGCACTGAAGCTCTGTGATGGCAGTTATCTTGTTTGGTATAACTCCTGTGCTTGGAACACTTCTTAGCACACAGTAGGAGCTCGAGAAATGTTTGAATATTTGATGGAGTGAAAGAAAGATCGAGAATCATTATCTGCCCATTCATTTCTCCAACTGTATTAGAGAGAAATGTTTCAAGTGCTTTCTCTTATAAACACATCGATTTAAATATGAAGGTATGCTTTGTGAATATCACAGATGTATGGGGGGAAAAAACTCCAGCTTCTGTCCTATAACAATACCTAAAACTCTACTCCTGTTTCTGTTAAGAATCTTTTCTGACTAGAAATGATTTATTTCTTAGTCATTTCTGCAAAATTAGGCTCATTGTGTACAAATTGTTCTGAAACTTGCTATTTCTCTTTCCCACTCCACATTTTATCCTGAATGCTCTTCCATTTCCATACATTCAAAATACCTTTAAAACTCTCTTTTAGGAAGGAATCATATATACAGGTTGGTTAGAGAGAGGTATTTTGTAAATAAAAACATAATTTTAAAAAAATATTCATGTTGATGAGTATTTCCCATAGGCTTACCCAGTGAGGGTTCTGGGATTTCTGATATCTGGGCTTGTTTAAACAGAATCTAAGGTGTTTGCTACATCTACTGTCTTAGAAAATAAGGCTTAAATCTCAGGGTACCTCAAAAAAGGCACTATATTCCCACAAGAAAAAAAAAACTTTAAACCTTAACCCTTCTTAATGAGATTCTGCATTTCTCAAGTGAGACAAATTAAAGCCTAAAATGATTTTCCAGCTTCCCATAGCTGGTGAGCCTACCCACAAGGACCTGCCTGACTCCTCCTTGTCTAGGGGAGATTGTTGTGTTAGTTTTATAACAGCCCTTTTCCTTTATGGTTTCTCTATCACTCTCTTTTAACATCTTTTCAGTGTGTTCTGACAGTGCCAGAACATTTTCCAGTTCTTCAAGAAACAAGTCATTTTGGTTCAGTGTCTCTCCTTCAAAACTTTGTCATCATTTAGCATATAACAGAGGGGTGTGTAGTCCCAGGATGCCTATCAAAGGTAATTAAATCTCAGGAGTTTGTCAGGATTCATAAACTGCCTAAGCTCCATGCTTACTCCTTATAAATGTAGCACAACTTTGTGATTAAATTGCAGCTTGGTATTCCGTCTGGGACCACTTATGCTTTTGCTTGTATAAAGTCATATGTGTTTTCACTAAAGATTAACAGAGCTGTCCAGAGAAATGGAGGAAAATGAAGTCTCTTAAAAAAAGAGAAAAAAGACAAATATTTGTTTTTTTTCCTTTCCTTGTACCTCCTCATCCTCACCCTCATTTTCCATCAAATTCAAGTGCAAGAAGTGAACCATCAGAGCAAGTGTATGTAAATTGCACACATGATGAAGTTTGGTGAAGCTTCAAGAGGATGAAAAGCAGCCAGAAGCTTTTCAGGATGGGTTCAGCAGCATTTTTTTTTTTTTTTTTTTTTTTTTTTGCCTAGAAGAGTTTCATTTACATAGCTCCTATGATCCTCTAGAGTTCCTTATAAAAGGAGAAAGCTTTCTACAGTCACGAAGTAAAGGTGTCTTTGTCTCTTGACATTGTACTTAAATAAAACACCACCATAACATAGATGGTCTATA